TAGCTTACATTTCTAAATAAAACCAATAAACTGTTTAAATAAAACCAGAAGCTTATAACCAGGGTGATAAACTTCTGATAAAACTAATTAAACGTTTTGGAACCTGTTTGACACATCCCTAGCTCAGGAAAACAAGATCACGATGCCGTGACAAATTTTGATTCAAATTTTTAATGTAATTAACATCCAGAAGTGACGTCACGGCAACAACTGAAACTGATATAATAAAGGCTTACCCGGCGAGAATGAAAGTTGAAAGAGAAATGTTTGATAATGTAATTGTGCGACAAAACGTATTTCCATTCCTGCTCAATGCCTCTCGGCTTAAAAAAAAAATACATTTTGAATAGTTTAGGTGATACTATAAGTCAATACATTGATTGTGTTCGCTCCTTTATTTTCTATGGCATGGTATAGTAGAGTTATTCAGCGTTTTAAATTCGAGTGGTGTATCATGTAACATTCTAGTTGTCGCTTTTATTTTCTTGGTCAATCGTGCGATATTTCATGGTGTGCAACTTGATAGCATAACTAGTACACATTTACGCCATGTCGTGCAGAATACGACCAATAAGGGAGCTTCCAAGCCTTGACATTTTCTGAGGAATTCCACTGGTCGCCACGGTAATCTACGAACGTTTCCCGACCTTCATCGCGGTATTCAAATTTTCTCGCCGAAATTAAAGACCATTCGGAAGCCAAGGCGTTTTTCATTTAGCTGAGTGCAGATTTTAGAAGAAAATGTTCAAATACGTGAATAACGAACCGGCAATGATTCCGGGACTCTCGAATTCGACTGTCTAGAGTTCAAAGTTTCGGTAAAACCTCATACTTAGCGAGGGATAACTTTATGTAGATGCCAAGCAATTGCCCCGGCAACAACAACCGAAGAAAAAGGAACGGTGAAAGTTTGGATTTAAAACCCAGCTGAAGAACTTGTCATGTAAACCTGTTTTTAAACAGGAATTCCGAATGACTTACCATCACCAGAACTGACCGTCGCAAAATGCTCGTCATTTTCTGACATTTTCTGGCATCGTACTTTTACGGAAATATTGAGAGGCCCTGCGCCTAAGAAACGACCGATGATTTCCGGCTAAAAAATAAAATCGGCCGGTTTTTA